CAGTGGCTAAGGCACTCGGCTGCTGACCCGCAGGTAAAGGATCAAGTCCTGGCTGCGTTAGCTGCATTTTTGATGCAGGCGAAAATTCTGTAAGCGCGTGCGCTCAAATATGGTTGCACGTTAAAAACCTCTATTGGTCGAAATTTTTAGAGCCCTTCGCTACGGCGTTTAATATATTGACATGGTAATTTTGCGACATCAAACCGCACATTTATCATTATTGTTATTATTATTTTATTATTATTATTTTATTATTATTATTGTTATTATTATTATTATTATTATTATTATTATTATTATTATTATTATTATTATTATTATTATTATTATTATTATTATTATTATTATTATTATTATTATTATTATTATTATTATTATTATTATGCGAGCTCAAGCAAAAACTTGTTTTGGCCTCTAACACATGGAATTACACATTCTGAAACACCTTGTACCAGTCACATCACTGACGAATCGCTTAACACGCCGTCCGACATTTCTCTAGGAGAGGGCTTCAGTTCAGATATGTATGGTCGTGACACCAACCTCCTCGACACGGAGCACGTTAGAACAAACGCGGACGTTGACATATGCACGCAGGGGTGCTCAGTCTGAGGTATCCTACAATTCTCTTTGGTCGCTGTCAGGTCGTTGGTCGATATGCGCGGTTGATGGCAGGTCATCGACAACTCTCACGACTGCACCTGAGGAGGCACATTCAAAGCAACACAGAGCTACTTTGTCTGCGCTACCATATATTATTTCGCTACCACGAACAAGCCTAAATCAATATAAGTAGTGGTGTTGGATTACAGAGGTGCTTATTTTTCATAGTGTATCCAAAACACAATCCTGGTTAAGAACTCGTAACAATGCTGTTTGGATATCCGAGTAATTATGCACGATCACACAAAGTGATAACAGTATAATGCAATGTAAAAGTGGGTAAAAGAAGTTAGAAATGTCATGTCTAGAGGTTATGGAGGCGCACAAGTACTCCGTATCATACAGTATAACCAGACAACCACATAAGATGCCTAGCATAACGACACAAGTTCTTACCAGGAAGGCCCAAATTTTTGCACAATACTACATGCTATAGAGAGAATATTATCAGGTACACACGTCACATGATGTGTGCATTTGTGTTATTGATAGGTAAGTCAATAAGTACGGTCAGCCTTTTGTTAGCCCAGATGGCAGCAAAGGCGATGAGCAGACATTGGGCAAACAATATAATTTAGTGTAAATCAATGCTCAGACTATGATGTATACTCTTCGGAGTGCCGGTGGTCCAGGCTCTTTCTTGGGCCCTGAAGGTAATGGGCAGAGTTCGTCCCGCCAGCTTCCGACGTGTCTGTGTAATCCACGCAGCTACATTCGGACACGAGGAAGACCGGGCACTTGTGCCGCGACTCCGTTGGCACGGCCAACTGCTTGACAATCTTTACAAAATGATTAAACTTGTCCTCCGTTTTGCAGTAAAAACCCATAGTGCAGCTTGGATCCATCTTGTAAAAGGACATCCACCACCCTCATTGCGCCCGAGACGCCTCGCAAAATGCCGGTGACCACCAAGATACCCGTCCTAATGTCGCGTCTGGTATTGGCCTATCGACTGGTGGTGTCGCCTATTTCCTTTCCCAAAGAGCGTAGGTCGAGTTCCATAGTCCATAGCAGCTACATGTGTGTTTCATGCTGATTTCCCGCGTTCATTTTTTATGCAGCGAAAGTACACTGCATGCGTCGCTCTTTTCAACTGAAGTCGGTGTACCCAACGGACAACTTATATACCATCCACGTATATATATTACATTTGCTTTTACGGGGCAGGCTTCTTAAAACGTAGTTTTCTTCCGTCGAGATCATGGCATAAAACTGTTGCTATAGTTCAAACATATGTGACACCCAAAGAAGGGTTTCACAATATACTCAAACGTAAAGTTAGGCTAATCATTATAACGTAAAAGATCGCTGTTCCCAGCGAAAATAACCTATCGAGAGAAGTATGAATGACTTCATATATACTAAAATGGGCCTCGATTTCAAGGCTTCTTGAAAAAAACCTGTAACGCAAAGGCAAACGTCATACACTCATCATCATCAGCCTTACTACGTCCACTGCAGGACAAAGGCCTCTTTCATATTCCCCCAGTCAACTCGGTCATGTGCTTGCTGCTGCCAATTTATACCCGCAAACTTCTAATCGCATCTGCCCACCTAACCTTCCGTCTCCCCCTAACCCGCTTGCCTTCTCTAGGAATCCAGTTAGTTCCCCTAATGACCAGCGGTTATCCTTTCTACATTCCACATATGCGGCCCATGTTGATATTCTCTTCTTGATTGCAACTATGATATCCTTAACCCCGGTTTGTTCTCTAATCAACTCTGCTCTCTTTTTGTCTCTTAAGGATACAACTACCATTTTTCTTTCCATTTCTCGCTGCGTCGTCCTTAATTTAGGCTGAACCCTCTTTGTAAGTCTCCAGGTTTCTGCTCCGTAGCCAAGTACTGGCAAGCTAGTACCGTCGTACACCATATGTCCCAAAATATTACCCACAATAAAATGTATCTTTCCACTGATAGGAAGGTGTGTTCTTGGATTCGGTTTTGGGGCATATCCTCCCCTCCGGCGATTTATTAAATGTCCCTTATATTGCCTAAGATGCATGGAACGTGAAATATAATATAATTTCCCCATGTGATTTATGTCACTCAGTTTACATAATATGGTGCACTGATCGGCTTACGCAAGGTATACTGATGCGACACCCAGAGTTTCGCGCACTCGTCTTGATTCGCTTCGAAGAGATGCGTGAATTTTCTTAAATGCGAAGCATTTCATTACATGCTGCCAGAGGTTTTGGCGTTTGTATTTATATATTTAGGGCTATTTGTACATATATTTAGTGTTTTACATATATTTACAGCATTTTACATATATACAGCATATACAGTGCTTGAACAGTTATTTAGTGCAATTTCATTACGTGATGCTCAATAAAAAAATTATAACACGCTCACTTTCACTCTGATCAAACGCTTCGCCTACCACTGATTTTCAAGTAACATGGTATCTGTGGAATTTTTTTTGATTCCTTTGTTTTCATTCAACTGGCCACTACACGGGCAGACACACCTCACCAATACAACCACGCGATCAGACACAGCCTACGTGGGTGTTTGAATGGCGATGATGAATGGCGATGATGATGACGCTACAGATGATGCTACAGGCGTAGGTGGAGTCTTCGCTGCAGCCGCCCACCAGAGAGTTACTGGTTCCTGATACACTATTACCGTTGACCACCTGGACTGCCTAAGGACACTTTGATTGGCGTCACTAACCTTCTTGTATATACGCCCTCATGTTTGTTTTTATTTCGGCATCATTTCTACGGGGTGGGGGGGGGGGTCAGAATAATTTGCATTCATTGAAGAGATGGCCGCCATGGTGTAAAAACTACCACGAAAATGAGATGATGTGCTTGAAAGTTCATATTTCTTGGGGCCCTGCCGTGGTAATCTTGTGACTAATATCCCGTGACCTGCGGGTCAGCAGGTCGCGGGACCTTGATTTGTCGATCAATTGATTGGTCAAATTGATTGGTCGATGTTTGATTATTGTTTGCGTAATTTGATGATGAACATCAAGTACCAAAGTCAGAAGTCAGGTGCAGAAGTCAGCAGGAGAGCCCTACCACGGTGGTCTAGTGTCTAAGGTACTCGGCTGCTGACCCGCAGGTCGTGAGTTCCATGCAATCCTGGGCACGGCGGCTGCATTTTCGATGGAGGCGGAAATGGTGTAGGCCTGTGTTCTCAGATTTGGGTGCACGTTATGGAACCCCAGGTGGTCGAAATTTCCGAAACCCTCCACTATGGCATCTCTTGTAATCATATGGTGGTTTTGGGACGTTACACCGCACATATCAATGAATCATATTTCTAAGGGCTACATGCAACGTTAGTTCAAACACCATGTTCCCAATGCAAGCAAATCAGGGCTTTTTCCTTTGTCCCAGAAGCATATTGGGGACCGCGAGTGAGGGCGTGTCGCAGACGGACGTAGACACCGACACACAAAGAAGCTTCTAAAAATTTGCCATGTGCAACGCTTTTTTGAAATCAGTTTCATGTGATGTACGTAATAGAGGGACGCTCATTGTAGTCAGTGAGCACCCCCAATGCATCATTTTTCTTGCTTCTAGCAAAACTTTGCGAGGATGAATGATCTGCGTTTAAACTGAGAAAATTTGTGGATGTTCTAATACTATTGGCATGCCAACCGCTTGGCTACACTGGTGTGTAGAGGGCACTCATGGTCTGACGTGCTATTGCCACTCACCCTATTGCAAATACATTAGTTTCTTCTCAACGATGGTCACGTTGTGGTGCGTTGATTTGCGTATATTAGTAAAGTGTGTCAGAATATTGCATCAACTTTGAATAGAAATTTTATCTATCACAAGAGCACACAATATTGCTTGTCCCATTGTCTAAAGCCCGCAGCCATTAGACTTACGTTTGAAGACACTTCAAGTATAGCGAGTTTGGCGGCAGTCGCGTGGTGTTTCCTAATTGTGTGCTTTCTAAAAAATGATGCATAACGCTTATTGCGGAGTTTACCTCAGATTGAAACTGTAATGTTTCTAGCAAGAAGTATACATCATTGGTATTGAGAAACTTTCGGTGTAGTTAGTGCTTGAGAAGGTCATTAAGAACTCTTAGCAAATCCCCGAGCTCGGTAAATTGCGCACAAGTATCTCGACATGCAGCATGATATTCAAATAAACACTGTGCGAATTGTGTCCCGTAGTGCTTATGCTTTCTTTCAATACTTTAACAGAGTTATTGACGCAAACACTTTTTCGTCAGCCGTATGCGGCTTTCAATATCACGAACACCTTTTGAATAGTTGCTGCATTGAACTTATTTATCAAATGTTGTGAAAAATACTAATGCAAGAGATGCAAAAGGTAATAAATGGCAGAAATTTATCTTACCTTTTCTATGGAATACACTTGGTTACGTTGAGGTTTCCTTGTCCGTCTGCTAGGCGGTAAAGCTTTTCGAGTTGTAGTTTCTTCTTCTTCGTAAGTGTCATACTCAATTTCAGATACTTGTTCTGTGTGCACTGTCAATGAAAAATAAAGGACTAAAAACATTTGTAGGTGCATGACTTTGTTGCCGCAGATAAAAGTGTCTTGTGTGTACGACCGCACATTATATACTAACTCACTGATCACGTGATTTCTTATGGCCTTTACTTCGTACAAGTAAAACATCTTGGACAACATTTCAAGCCATGAAGATTTATTATTTGACATTTTATTCTTTTCTTCATACTTGATGGCAAAAGTCACACAACTGATAAGAAGATATCAATAAAAGAAATGCATGTCTCGCTGCCCTTTCATTTCAAACATAGACAATGAAAAACTGAATTAGGCTGAATATGTTTTGGCTTTGTAAATTTATTGCACATTTCGAGAGCACTAGTTCATAGTTTTGAATATTATCGAAATCCACGAATACCATCAGCATTCACCACAAACGTACCTGATTAGTCATTTTCTTATCATTTTGTTGTTTCAAGTGCTTTTAATAAGATACTTTGTACATGTTATGCTTAGAGTATGAAGCAGCGCCCCCAAAATGACTATTTGTTCTCTTCAGTACTCCATAAACTGCCCATGAATCACGTAGTTTTCATGGCATAATTTAAAAAGAGCATGTGGTGCATATTACGCCACAGTCCCCTTCTGTTCATCTCTACTTCATGACTGTTGCCAAGACATATTTCTGAGAACTGTTACGGGAATTAATGAGCAGACGGTTGTTTTTCCCTCTTTATTGAGGGAACCATACTTTGTTTATTGCCAAAAATTTATCGCAACAAAGACACTGTGGCGTAAGTGTTCGAAGCGAGCTGAAAACTCCAGATACCACCTTTTTGTTTACAGAGTCTGCTCACATATTCAAGACACAGCCTCATGATAAATTTGTTGCACATTTTCTTGACTTCCGTATTAGTCACGATACTAGAAGAGGAAGACACAGAAGCGACAGTGGCTAAAAATTTTCGCAGTGCCTGTTCACACAAAGAATTAGGTTTGTTAATGGGAAATATTTTTGTCGCAAAATACAGCCCCTACCAGCCCCTGGAAAAGTGCTGGTGCACTTTTTTGTAGTTTCTTCCATAGTAACGCAGTTTCGAAACATCAGCAGATTAACCTAACTATTTAAAAGAGTCTTAACCATGTACTCGAGCTCAGTAGTTGTCACTCTAGATTTTGTAATAGAGGTACAGTACTACCAGTACATGTGATGCCTGTGGGTGTCGCATCAGACCTATACTTGAAATTCAACTGTAAATCTCGAAAAGCAGTCAACCGGAACTTTTGCTGCGAAAGTTCTCGTAAAGCACGCTTTTACACGTTTCACTCTAAAGCCTGATGGAGAAACAACTCGCACAAACGAACAGCCTTCATAGAGTTGACATTCAGACTAACACTTTGTTGGAAGGGCTTGCGTAATCAACCGGCAAGTTTCACCTTACAGATATTTCGCGTACCAAGCTTAAACGATTCCTTCGAAAACCCAACTTTTGTATCACGAGTACTAATGATATCACATTGAGCAATGTGGCTGTTCATAATATTTCAGTTATATGCAGAGGTATGACGTGCAAAATAATCAATCTTCATAAATATTTGCAGCGTGCGGTTAGGTGGATATTCCTAAAGCAGTCAATACGACTTCCATTTCTTTTCGCCGAAATGATCACTGAAATATATTTCCTTGACGCCATCAATCTCTTTTAACTGTTTCGCGTGGTCTAGCACAATTCAGGTATTACTAGAATAGCACAATAAATATCACAGATTCATCGCTATTTTTAAGAACGTGAAGCGTGACCCCACCAGCTGTTTCAAAGAATAAGCAGAAGGAAAGCTAAATATACCAGCCTAATCAGAAAGAGCGTGGTCGTTCGATCGTCAGAAAAGCGTTCTTCACCAGTGCCTAAAATGACACACGTGGCACATGTGGTGTATGAACCGACCATGACTCACGACCTACGTAAAACTCACCCGAAGTATGCCGCAGAAGTGAGCATGTCATGTAGGCCTCCTGTACTAAAGGCAAAGTAGAAACGAGACACATTTTAAATGCTACGTTCCTAAGTAATCATAAACTAAAGTACAGCACGGAGGGAAGAAAAGCTTCATATGTTTGGGCTTGACCTACTACTTTTGCATTATTCTTACTTTCATTCATTCATGCACTAAAATTTGGCGTCTTTACTTCTGAACTGTTGCGTTTTTCTATGCCCTGATTTAGGTTCACCAAGGCTACACTTTTTCTTAGGCCACAACGATGGTCTTCCTTTCTTATAAAACATATATTGTATATTGTAACATGCGACATCCGAAGATCAGATTGCTATATCGGAAACGGCTTAATAATGAGCCTGCGGTTGAGAAATCAACTAAAATTGCAGCACCCGAACCACATTGACATTATCTATCCCCAAGCCTGCATGTCTCACAGCCCCAGCCATGCAGTGCAAGTTGTCCTGCCACAATACAACACCAAAATCTTCGCTTCCTCTCCTTACACGCACATTGACCAGATGCAGTCGCCATTTCTACAGCACTACCAACATCACCTTATCAATTATAGTTGCCCCAACGTGTCACTAACAGTACATCTGTCCACGGACGCCATCACTGTATTATTGGTGGTTTCAAGATTCAAGTGTTTTGTGGCAGAATCTGCCATGGCTCTAATGACAGACTTCCGTCATGGATATTACATTGCAAAATATATGTGAACCGATGGTAAAAAAACTGCGAAAAAAAGTTCCATCACCAGCAGTATAGCCTCCAGCCTATCGCTTCTTATCGCGTGGGGAGAAACTACTAAACCACAAAGAATACTTTCTTCAGCATGCTAACGTCGACCTATTGATATACACCATTTGCCGTCAGCTGTACTAAGAGCTCGGTGACTTTCGACTCTTCTCGTTACGAGTAGCGAGATAGCGTTACGGGTGCGGAGGATGTACTTTGTTGAGATGCGCGTGTGTTTATATCTTGAAGGACGGGGCTTATAGGTCCTGTGCTTTCACTGCAAAATGGCACTGAAGTTGCAGAGAACACGAAGCTCACTTCGCTTGCTGCAGTAGCCGTATGCCTTAAAACAGGGTGCTTTTCTTCCTCTCTCTCTCTCTCTCTCTCTCTTTCTCACACACACACACACACACACACAAACACACGCACAAACACAAACACACACACACACACACACACACACACACACGAGTACTGTGCTACTACTGTGACAGTTGGATTGTGCCGGCCCGTGTGCTTACACTTGCGTGCACGTTAAAGAACTTCAGGCGTCAACATTTGTGGAGCCCACCACGGCCATCTCTAATAATCATATGATGTTTATGAAAAGGTAAAATTCAGTTATTATTGTTTGTTTACATTCATTTTATGAGTGTGAACGAGCAATTTGTGCGTCTGTTTTGTGTGCCCTTCCTTAAGCTCAAGCAGAATCTTTAAATTTCGACTAGATGCATTTGTAGCATCACGTTTGTTTTCTCTAGCTTATTTTCGTGCGTCACTTCTGCTTAAAGTTTGCGCTACGATTTTCAACTGCTACACGTTCCTAAAGTTATTTTGAATTTGCTTCAGTGGCACTCGGCTATTCACTCTTGTAGAAAAGTATGCACGAAAAAAAACGCTCAGCATCCTATATGAGGCCCCGTTTCATTTTTTGTTTTACCAATTTTTTTGAATGAGGAGTCAACCATGTTTATGTTGCTGTCGTGGTTGTTCTATCTATCCATTCGTTATACTATGCCTTTTCACGTGGTCTTTACGTAATAGTGTCACTGCTGATAATCAGCACACAAAACTAACCTAATTTACCACTTTACTTCAGCGTTACTTCATTATTATCAGTAACTGTGCGTACAAATACTAATAAGACCAGTGCGCTTCGAGGGTCCCATTTCAGTTCACCCACACTGATTAACCCTTGTCATCACCGTGTATTACGCGTGCAGAGCCATCGCCACCGAAGCCGAGACCCCTAAAAGGGTTATATATTCGCCGAACAGCTGAAGAAAACCAGTACTAATGATTAAGCACGAGAGCATTGGTATGATTGCACCACCAAGGGGGGTGCACGTGTTTTCTTTCACTCAAGACCATGACCGTGGCTCAGTGACTATGTATATTGATTACTGTTTCGAAGGACGTAGAATGAAATCCCGGCTCTGGTGGGTGCGTTTTTATACATGTATACAGCACCCTTAACACATCACATTAGCATTTCACAAACTTGGACATCTCGGCAGTGTCTCTAATATTGTTAGAAACAGTCAGGAGCAGACCTAAACCATACACGATTTCATAAGATGCTGTGGCGAGTTTATTTCGTGGAAACAACAACAATTTCTGAGGTAACAACTTACACTTCAAAATACGGGAACGTAGCCTGTGATTTGAAAAGGAACACCCGATCATGCCATCGAAAGTGTGCAGGGGATTTCATTGCAGTGTAGTACAATCATACATTTTGGTCTCTTGTTGCTTCATCATAGTGAAATACACGTCAATTCTGAGCTACGGGATTATTCGGAAACTGCATCGCTGGAAGAACGCTGTCTAAACAGCCGCCCACTCTAAATCAGAGCTTCAGCGCTAAAATGCACAGTTATTCAGCACGCCTACAAGCCCTACTCTCCTCATAATCAGTTGCATCATCATCATAATCAGTTGCAACCTGTGTACGCTTACTGCAAGACAAAGGTTACCTACTCATGTGCAAGCTGATTCCGTTTTATCTCTTCAAAGTTTATTAGTCCCTCGTTTGAAATCATTCACACGTTTCGCAGTAGTTTTATTTATTACAGTAAAAGTTGTTTTTAGAAGCTCCCTGTTAGACGTGCTTCTGTCTTTCATTTTAGAAGTTTAAGTATATATATTCATTTTGGCTTGCAAAGTTTTGGCTGTAGCTCAGAAAATCCATTAATGATCCGACTTTATCACACTAATCTGTACTCAGAAGAAGCCGTTCCTTTTATTCAGAGTTAGTTCGGTTGCAAAAACGTTTAGTGCCTAAGCCTGAATAAGCCGTGAGCGCAAAATATAATTCTTGGGTGACTATGA